ACTGCTGTATACCTATTCTGCATCGTCACGCCCAATAACATTGGCGGAACAATCGCCAATACTAACTTGACGTTTACCTTGGACGACACACTCCTCCCCGACGGGTATACTCACATGTCAGATAGTTCAAGTCCCATTTCGTACAACGTTTCTGTGTTTGCGGCAGAGGGACTCAAAAACGTGTCACACAAATTAATCGCACGCACAGGGAGCCCGTCGCTCTTCCTTTTTGACTACGCGATATATACGTGAGTGATACGTATTAATATACCATGGTGATCACTGAATAGCTGTGTTAGGTTTGACGACGGACTTTCCGCTCAAGGCACAGCGACTGCCGGCGTACCTGGACAGACGACAGCTGGGCCTTCAGACCGAAAATCATCCGCATTATCCCCTTCCATCATTGTCGGGAGCGTATGCGGCGTCGTGACATTTGCATCGCTACTTGTCGGGTTCATGCTGTTAAAGCGCAGGAAACGCCAGAGGAAGCGCACATATAGCATTGATGGAGAAGCTGGAACGGGAATTCTCATTGATGCACCGCCACAAAATCTGGTTGAACCGTTCACGGACTCAGGCTTGCCGCCGTATACAGAATTAGATTCGTCTGAAACAACGCAAAGCACGGGGACGACGGGGAGCCACAGGCCGGAAAAATCACGTAGACAGTAACGTCTCATTTTCAAGTTGGTTCATACTGTATAAGGGCTTAATTATTTTAATCTACGGTTTGACATTATGGACTGCTGAGGCCTCTCAAGAATCAAATTTCTCCAGCGATGTCTCCAAGGTAGAAACGGTTTACCGACCATTCTATTGGGACATCAAGCAAATGAGCATGCGGAAGATGCGGCTTCAAATACCATGTGGGATCATCAGCGGCAGAGGTATAGTACGCACCCATGCACCAACCACTGAGAATTAATACCAGAATTACCCCACCGCCAATTCAAAAGAGCCGGAATTTGCGGATACTATGATTGTTGCAGAGGTCTTCCGAGGCCAGAGATGCGATACACAGTATACCATAAATTAGATTGGTAACTTGCAGGGCCAGCATTAATTAAATTGAGATTTCTGGATGCATACATGACGATGGATACATGATAAGTATAGGCCCTTAGAACGTGGGTTAAACTTAAAGTTACCGGAGTCTCACAAAAAGGCTCGCCAACTGTCCGACTGGTTTGAAAGTAGAGTGGCTTTCAGGGCACCTTCAGGATTTTGACAACACTGAGAACGAGAGAGTTGGCAGAAAGTTGTTTCTTGTGCTCGAGACACAGGGGATTTTCGTGTTTTGAGTATTGAATTATTCTAGACACCCATTCGGAGGAGGAAGTATAAATTGGAAGAGCGGAGGACAGACTTGCGACGAGTGGTGATGTTTTCAAATCTCACAGTTCAACAAATCAACATGCCGGTTGATGGATCTGATGGCCGTGTGGCCGAAGTTACTCGGCACAACCTCATCTCGTCTTCAGGGCCCAGGCTTGCCGTTTCATCCGCCTCGTACTTCGGGTGAAGTTTAATATCACACAACGGAGCAGTCTTGAATCAAGTCCAGATCTTGATACCTCAGGCCGGCCTCGGCGGCAGGCCCGTGCGGATGTATATAAACATCGCCTGTAGTCATCTGCCAGTTTCAGTTTGAGGGTCCTCGTCCAAAATTTTAATAGAACTTGTGGGAGCGTCAGGTGAAGTCAAGCGTCCTTTGCATTTGAGTCGATCATGGAAGGGAGTCTCATCGCCGACGACCTCAAGAGAAATCTTAAGAGCAGAGGTATTGAGCAACCCACACTTCTTCCTGAAATTTTGATGTGGTTTACTAACCAAGCGATTTCCCGCCGACGAAGGGGGGGGAACAAGTAAAAAGAATGTAAAACCATGGTGACCTGACCCCGAATCGAACGGGGATTCTGTACTGAAATACGATGAATGCACTCATAATGAAAGTAGATGCACTAACCATTACACTATCAGTCATGATCATGCTTGGAGCATTGCTAACCTAGGTGGAGTTCAAACTACTCATAGTGTATGACCATGAATAATGAATGTACCAATTGTTTGGTTTGCTCAATGCCGAACTGGGTCTGCTCTGCTGACGTTCTCATCATCCGCGACAACGGTATGCGATGGAAATGAAATACTTTCACAGCTCCCATCGACGATTGAATATAGCTTTCTCCGAGGAATATCAGAACGAACATCCCTTTGCGGCAACACCAAAAGACTCATTGTGTTTATCCTTGAAGTGTCGGAATACAAGTACGTGGTGCTGCGAATTTGAAGGGAAAGTGGATATTTAATTGTCGACGATTTCTCCAGTGGGACGTCCACTTGAAATTTCACTGGAATGAGTCAACTTGAACCGTAACTTCCTTTCATACCGTCCACTCACCAGTCCAGTGGCGGAAAAACCCAGGTCCGAGGCTTCCGAGTCTTGCCGGTCCACATGAGATATATACGCACCCTGCGAACGTGCGTTAATATTCGAGGGTCTCAATGCATATGTTTTGTGAATATCCCTCCGACCAGAAGTTAATTTCCGGGTACGGTAGGGAGACTCAGACCCGCCGCTTAAGGTTAGGTTAATAGAAGGAGAGGCACCCCGAGGAACCCGGCATGATCGTACCATGTACAACATATCATCCGTGTTTCAGGAACCCACACTGGTCAAGAGACGTGCCGAGCCGTCGGAGGAGGTTATCTGGGGCGAACTCGGGTCGGGAGAAGGAAGAGCAGGGAGGAAGAGCGCACGTTTCGGCGGATCCCCGCGCGGAGGCGGAGGGAGCGTCTGGCGAGTCCCCCCGGACCCGACCCGAAGTGGCTGCGACCCGACAGGATGTGGGTCTTACGACCCGACCCGAGTGGGGTCTGTGGGAGCTGCGCTGCTGGCCGGTGGTGATAAGATATTCCTTCGGTGGGTGGCGCGGAAGCTCCGGACCCGGCAAGCCTGGCATGGCGCTGCCAGGGTGCAAGGGTGCGCATTATTTCCGCGTACCAGGTGTGTGATACATGCGGTAGAGAGATAGTAATCTCTCGTATAATTAAGCCTTGCTTGTTTGACTTGTGGCTTGAGAGCCTGGAACACGCATTGTGACTGTTTCGGAAATGAATGACATTCCTTAATTAATTCAAGCTAGTGTTGCTTCAAATTTTTGGGGTTTGAAAGAAAACCAGGTACCTCCATGGCTATGCCAGATTGCTAGCTGCTAGCTGCGATGGTAGAGATACAGACGAAAGCGAGGACGGCAGTCGGGCCGCATTGCCGAGCCGATCACCTGCCCGTGGGGTAAACTGCGGGGTAATTGGCAATCTGCGCCGATCCGGCAAACAACCCATTTCTTCCTCTCCTCCCATCCATCCCGGGCCTGCTGGCATACGCCGCGCCCACGTCCGTGGTTTCCCTCTCGGACTCACCCTAGCATACGCTCTACCCTCGCTCCGTCTCTTTCGTCGAGCCTATACGAATTATGGTGAGCGTCGTCAGGCTGCTGTCGACGTGGAGCGCTGTCTCACCGTGACTCAAAGCCGACTCAAGTGCAGCAGCCCCCGCCGGAGCTGCACCACGACCCGCACAGCAAGCACGCCAACGCGATGCACCGGGACGCCCTCCTCCAGGCCCTCGGCTCCATCCTTGCCCCGGTGAGTGCAATTTGCGAAAGCTTTGAAGGAAATCGAATGACAGTTGCGTTGTAGAAGCGCCCCACTCTGGCTGGGCGTTCGTCGTCCGCGTCCACGGTCGACTCGTCGCGCTCATCGTCCGGCACCGCGAGCCCCGCGCACGGCCACCCCGCGTTTCCCTTCGCGCACCTGCACCCGGGCGCGCCCGCGCCGCACCCGAGCCCGCTGCACCACCCGCACGCGCCCTCGCCGCTCGCGCACGCCGACGCCGAGTCTGAGGTCAGCTCCCCGCGCGCATACGTCTACACGCTGACCCCCCTCCACCCAGGGCGCGCATGCCGCCGACTCTGACCCCCCCGCGGCCGACCCCGCCCCCGTCCCCGCTCCCGCGCCGCTCGCGCCCGCGGCCGTGCGCCCCAAGATCATCGACTCGCTCAAGAGCAAGAACGGCGCCTGGGACGCGCTCATCCATGGCTCCTTCTCGTGAGGCTGCCTCGCATCCCCTGCGCAAGGTTCGGTTCCTGTTTATCGCTTCAGCTTCTGGGCAGTCGTCTCTACGGGTCCATGTATCGTCTGGGAGTCGGTTTCGGTGTGTATCTGCGTGGTGTACAGTATGTATTTGTAGAGAGGCGCCCTTGCCCTCGCCTGGACGGGGGAGGGTGCCTGATACCACTGTTGTGCATCTGACTCGTGCTGTAATCTGCATTTTCTGGCTCGTATTGTAATCTACATCTTTCTATTGGGAGTTTGGCGCGCCGTGGGAATTGGGATCATGACAAGTGCGTGGGAGTTCGGAGGATGACAAGCTATGACAAGTCACTGAAGTCAGTGGAGCGGGAGCGGTGCGGGCGGGGCCGCCCAGCCCGCATGACAGTTGGCAAAGTGTTGGCAAGCGGTCTTTGTCGGTGCCTGTCACTGCCTGATTGGGTGAATTCCAAATATGGAAGTCCCGCCCATCGGCTAACACAGCCGATCGGCGGGCACCGTTGTTGATGGCGGTTCAATTTTGGCCCATTTTATTTTCGACCGAGGCGGCGCCCTGGTGGCTACCTGGAGACTGGCATCTTATAAGGCTCACTCCCACCAGCTTCGGGTTTCTGTGCCGGACTGCCTCCCCTGCTATGTCCGAACAACTTGCGAAAATGTTCGACTTTAGAGAGCTTGCATCGGAGGGATATTGGGATACTGGAGGAAAAGATGTTGATTGGCAATGGCATGGGTCGTAAATTCCGAAGAGATCTCTGTATTGGAGTTGTCATTACGCCCCATTGTGCACTGGCAACCTGGTTATACTAGTACCAGTCACATTTGTGGCCGCTTTGATAGTTGAAGCTACTGCACTTACTTTGAGAGCAACCTACAGTAAGCATGCCCTGGTAGCACAATGGTTAGTGCAACTACTTTGACTATACCCACAGCCACTTGTGATTTCAGTAGAGCATCCCTGTTCGATTCGGGGTCAGGTCTTTGTTTCTGGTAAGCATCTTTTTTTCGTAGTTTTATCACGCTTTGGCAAAGTTTTCCTTTGGCTTGAGAACGATATTTTGCAGCTGCTCGATTAAGGGACTTTGAGTTGGGCACAAGATACATAACTGACTCATGCGGAGATTCAACCACTTTAGCATATCTAGGGTCCGGAGAGTAGCCTTTGATTTATATTGGGTGTGGCAGCGTTGGAAGAAGTGACCTCATATGGTTCAAGCCTTAAATATCCATGAAAGGATCTGATAGCAAACCGGTTCGAGCGTCTGCTTGGTTTTTGGCCTCTTCAATATTATGTGGAAGATCCCTGTTCAATTCGGGGTCAGGTTGTTTTGTCTTTGCGGGTTTTCTTCTTCTTCTTTTGCTTGATTTTTGGCAGTTTGAACTTTGTTGGGGAGAGTATCGAGAGGAGAGTTGGAGGAATTTTGCGACTCGGAGCCAGCCTCAGTAGTCGGGAAAGCACGAAGGGTAGTCCTTGGACGCAATTTTCATAAATATAAATCAACAATAAATCAACACTCAGTCAGACCTCGCGGCTTCGCGAAGTTTTCAAGCCAGACTAGCGTCAGCGTTTTGAGGTCAACTCTGTGGAAGTTCAAGAGTAATGCGCCGAGATCCAAAGGACAGGCTCCCATTTAAATTGCAATTTGATCCATCGAGTCCGAAGCCAGCCGCAGTATAGAAAGACTCACCGCGGCAAAGCTTGTGAGGGCGGATTTTTTGCAGTGGAGCGAGCAGCGTCAGCCAGTCCAAAGGGAAGAAGCAAACAATATATTTGACATCGTTCATTTTCAGTGGTTTCGTAATTGAACCTAGGTCTCGTTTACTGGAATTGATGAGTCAGTAGCACAATTGATGGTGTTTGAATATGCGGTACAGACGACAAAAACTGTTAGCAGAAGATCCCTGTTCAATTCAGGGTTAGGTCCTTCAGTCATCGTGTAGCTTTTTCTTTCCTTTCATATTTTCGTCGTTTCTTTTGATTGGTTTCAAATGAGAGTAGGATACTTCTTCCGAGTCAAGCGTTGGAGCGAACGTAAATGGCGGTAGACTAAAGCTTCCGCTGTAACTTAATTCATCGAAAATTTGGACTGGCATATGTATGTACAGAAAATTCGCAATGTTTCACGAGAGAAATCTGGTCTGCGTTTGAGGTCGGAAGCCATCGGCCAGTTATTCAAGAACGCAGAGCTCCGAGATGTAGGTTGCAGGGTCAGAAGTAGCAAAGGTTCGAAGGATAGTATGCGATGTACCGGAAATCCGTTAAATGACTTAAACCACAGCTTCCCTCGCGCAGCCCGGAAAAAGGAAATGAGGGAAAGGTTAGATGTAGGGTAAAACCATTCGTTAGGCAGTCCACAAAATGAATAGAGCTCGGGTTTGCCTCAGCTGAGACGGCCGGTTGCCCGTTTGGCTGTTAGCGTATGAGCCACATCCTTTCGCAAGTCGGCGGGCCTTGGAGTCTGGAATCGAAGTTCAAGGCGCGATTGATAGGCAAATTATTGTTGAGACAAAAATAAATTCAAGCGCCATCGTCCGCGACGCTCGCGTTGTGCGAAAACAAAAACTCCCTCTGGGTTTTAAGCTCGTCCAGCTGCGCTGTCACCGCGGGATCAAGCGCGCGAAAGTGCCCAGGATGCCCATCCAGCTGGACCTCAAACGCGCCCATCTCATTTCGGCCGGGCTTGAGTCTCGAGAGCACGAAGTCGCGAAAGACACCATCGTCGAACTGGAAAAGGGTATGGCAGTGGAGGAAGCTGAGGGCGGGGACCAAGCATGTGGGGTCGGGGGACCAGGTGAGCCGCTGGAGAAGGGAGTCGGTGGCCAGACGAAATCCGCGCCCCTACCGTCCGTCTTCTTGTGGTCCCAGATTGCCAACTGCAGGAGCAAAGGGAGTACAGATATGGTTTCGATGAGTTCGGCTTCGGTGATGAGCACTTGGTAGAGGTCGAGACAGATGAGATGAGAATCGAAGGATGAGCGGTGGGAGAGGGATGAAAATGCTCGATGGGGCCATACAAGAGGGATGTCCAGGTGTTTACAGTCTTGAAATCGGAAGGAAGAAAGGGACGGTAATGTGAGGTGTGCCATTATGTGCGACACGGCCTCGGTAGGGCGCACTGTACCCAAATAACCTGTAACATCGAGTACCAAGGACCCGAGGTGGGATGTTACCATAGGCACATCAATGAAGGTACTTATGGGGTGGTGCGTTGTACCAAAACCAGAGACGAAGATGCAATCCGCTCTTGGCGGCGGAGAGACGGGCAATCAAGGGAAGGAAATCGTCCAGATTCGCCTCTTGCACAGAGCCATAGAAGAGCCTTCGCAACTGCTCTAATGGCAGGTGGGACAGTGCCGCAGCTGGCCCATTGAAGCCGACATGTGTTAGTCGAGGAGCCGCAGTAGAAATTTTGATGCATTCGGACGCCACGTGCGACGCGCTGAGGATCTCCGGGGGGGGGAGGTTGCCGCTCGCAGCAGCGATGTCCTTCAGGCGGTAAAACGGCATTGAGAAGAATGCTTTCCTCCATCGTCGGGAATATCGTGCAAGGAGTTCCAAAGCACCGGAGTCATGGTCTGAGAAGCCGCGAGCGCCCACTTCCAATGGGGTCCCGTCTCTACGTTCGAGGACGGACCTCAAGAGATCCATCATCCCATAATCATAATCCGAGGAGGGGCTCCACAAGCGCAAGTCAAGCTTTATGGAGGACCACAACACCGGGGTTCCCATGATAAGGGTGTGCCAGCGACAATCGCATGAGATCTGTCTTTGCCACCCATCTCGTCTCTTCTTCCAGCAACTCTTCGATCGGTTTGAGATTGTTTGAGATTATGATCCTTCGCCGACCTCGAAAGCTCGTGAAGCTTCTCAGCTTCTGCTGCTTGAAAAGCAAATATTTCGAGCAAGATTTCCGAAGGGAGGTGGCGGATCGGGGAAATGATGCAACGGCATACTAGTAGGTGCGTGTAAGTAGTCTTCAATGGCAGCACGGTCCAATTCGAGCTGCAGGAGAGAAGCCTTAATACGGATAATCTCGGCATCGTACATCTCGAGCTCGGATGACGAGGCAATGATGGCCCAACAGCGAGTGGCTTCGGCGTGGGATATACTAGTAGCACGAAGGTGGTTGTGCATGTTGGGAATATTCAATCTTGGGCGAGTGTTCTGGATCATTACCTGATCACACCGGATACTTAAGTAGTGTATGAGCGCCTGTATCCTTACGTGTTTGCAGAGCTCAGCCAAACACGAATCCTTTGGTCTTACTTCCTCTGGTCCTGAGTCGAACCAACCTCGGATTATTTCAACAGTGCAGCTGAGCACTCTGCGAAATCTGGGGTAGAACCTACCGTAGAAGAGTTGGACGAAAGAGCGGGGCAGTGCTGCATGAGTCACACAGGGATTGAGAGGCAGCCATCGAGGAAGATGAAAGCAAGATGAAATTGGTTTTGCCCCCGGCCATCGGCTGATTCAGCCGGCATGCCGCTGATTGCCAAGTCGGCCAGGCGCAAGTCGAAGAAAACAATACATACATAGTGTTTTCAAGGTCTCTTAATGCAACGACCCTGGTGGTACTTGATACGTTTAGCTCTGAGCATGTAAATCTCTTATAATTACCGGGTGGCCGATTCCGAGAGGTTGAACAACTTGAACTATTGCATCCGCAGTTCAACTTCAACTTTTGAAGCTGACATCCAGCTTCACTCGCTAGTCATGATTATCCGCATGGATGAAAATTCTCAAATTTCAACCCCTGCTACTCCAGGGACGAGTTGTAAGAAAAAATTGCGGGCATATAGACTTGGACTCCGGTTGGTGCACGAAAATTTGCAACGAGCATCTACTAATAGGGGAATATAGGCTTCAAGCCACGAGGATTCGTTTCAGAGCCCGTGAAGAGACTAAATTGAACCAGGTACAACCAAAATTAAATCGAGCAATGAACTGTCTCTTTCGCGCGGTCGCATAATTCATCGTCCACTTTTCTTTCTCGTGGGTGGTCGCGTCGCTGGCCGTAGGGGATCCGACGGATCAAGTTCTGTGTATGGTGGCAACGCAAAGTCCGAAACAGGCTCCGGCCAGGGGGATAGACGATGTGTAGCGATCAAGCGAATGCGCCGCCTCCTGCGCACGAATAAAGCGAATGCTGAAAGGAGCAGTAATGCGACAACGCCGCATATACTTGCGAGAACGATTGCGACTGTGGGAGCATGGGATGCCGAGGGGGTCGGGCGTTTTTCGTCGGCGGTTGTCTCGCCGGCAGTGGCGGTGGTGGTTGCCGTGCCTGAACCACTTGAAAGCTCGTCGTCAAACCTGGCATAGGTCTGTTCTCATCGAAAAATAAGAGCGGATTTGGTACTCACGTATACATGGCGTAATCGAAGATAAACAGTGACGGACTGGCGGTGCGTGCAATTAGGGTGTGTGCCGTGTTGTTGAGCTCTCCGGCCACAAGAACGGGGACCGAGTATGCGATATCCTTGGAGCCAACCGGGGCATGTGTGTAGCTCCCGCTAGATTGACCGTCGAGCGTGAACGTCAAGTTCACCAGGTTTGTTATATCGTCGGCAGGAACGATGCAGAATAGAGAGATCGCAGTCCCTGGACAGAAATTTAAATGATGTTCATCTCCGGAGCGTCGTGCCAAAATCGCAGAAAAAACTTACCCGTAAACTGTATAGTGACAGAGCAAGGGCTGTCCCCTGCCCGTTGAGTGCTGTCATGCCACGTACGATTGAGGGCCAGGGTTGGATCGGGTTTTACACTACAGCCACTGCAATTACCGTCCTATTTCCCTGAGAGTCAGCCCTCAAATAACCTCGTACAAATTCAAGGCTCACGACGACGGGGTGCCAGGCGAGCGCAGGTTCATAGACAGGGAGGAAGCCAGTGAGCGCGTCCCCGTAGAAATCGTCTATGCTGTGGTTTGAGACCGCAGAGAGGCAAACTTGAACTTGCGCCAAAGCGCATATCGCGAGGA